CATCCTCCAACGGAGGTGACATCCTCCAACGGAGGTGACATCCTCCAACGGAGGTGACATCCTCCAACGGAGGTGACATCCTTCAACGGAGGGGATGTCCCCTAATAAAACAAACCCTAAAATAAAAAAATGTAACTTTTAAACGGAGGTGACATCTTCAACGGATGTCAACATCCGTTTAAGGTAAAACGGATGTTGACATCCGTTTAAGGTAAAACGGTAAAACGGATGTTGACATCCGTTGAAGGGTGTCACAGTTACGTTTTTTATTTTAGGGTTTTATTTCAATATTTATTCGAATACGAAAAAGCACCTGCACGAAAATGAAAGAAAAGTATTTTACTAATGTAAATCAACCCTTGATAAAAGGCGTAAATCAACCCACTTTGTAGATTAATGGTCTATCTATCCCAGGAGATCTCATCCAGCTTTAACCCTTTCGTACAGTTATATTTTTAGACCAGCTTAGAATGATGGTATAAGGAAACTTGTATCATTCTATTTCTAATTCAATGACCATCACTTGATTGCTTCAGTTGAGAGCAACACCAGAAAAGTCTTATCCTTTTGAGTTAAACTCTATCGCGGATTGATCGACTAAAGCGTATATGCCCATATATATGTGATGGGAATCCAGTACATAGTAGATTAGCTTTTCCCATTTATTTTCTTCAACGATTGAAAACAAACAGGTTAGATTTTTAGAAGACTTTTTTTTATTACATTGTTTCGTTCAAGTCATTTTCCACACAAACAGATACAAGAGGATAATATTGTATGACGAGAAAATAAAATAGTGCCAGACCTCAGTATTAGAGATGGATTCTCTATTTTTGTTCCTTTATTCTCTCTATTCGATCTCTGACTAATTCATGAAGTTATTCGGACTTCAGATTCAACAAAATGGCCACGTTCCAATAGATAACATTTTCATGTAGTGGATGAGCCAATAGCCAATGTACAAGCCAACTAAAGAAGGAGGATGTCAACTATCGTTCGTTTGATCCCATCGTATTAGCAACTCAGTGGGATTTTCAACAAGCATATATGTTACTTATTGGGTATCCTTCCGTAACTGCTTTCCCCTTAATCTTTTCCTGGTTAAAAGAAAGGGAATTTCGGTTTTGTGATTGCAGTATTGTGAAAAATTATTAATAAACAAGAAATCTTAGAAAGACAAGCAAAGCTTGATTTTGAATCAAAGTTTTATTTTGCTTGTAAAATATATGGTAGAAGATTAGCGTTTTATTTTGCTTGCTTTTTCCTTTCGAAATTTACATATAAGTGATAAATAATTTACCTCGATAACAGTTGTGATCCTCCCTGGTCCACCCTACAATTACTCTAATTTAGAAAATCACTTAAAAAAACTGAATCAATTGCAGCACCAGTAGAAATGTACCACCTGAAATTGCTTTTTTGTCCATGATATTTCCTTCCAAGTTTTAGAATGGGCTGATTTCCATTCTGTTGGAACCTGAATACTATCCACATGTTGCAAAAGCCTCAAGCTATCTGCAATGACAATTAGTCCCAAGTGAATTGTAGAATATGATAGGCCAACATTTGATTTAGACAGTTATGAATCTCTATTAGGAAGTCAGTAGGCATTTATTTATACCTTAATCTTCTAGTTTATGTGGCAGCTGTAGTAATACATAACTACTATGGACTCGTAAAAATAAATTAAGGTGTCAGATTGTTATTCCGTGTATGTTGAAGGAATAGTGTTTGTGACCAAACACGGCCTAAAAAACAGATTTTTATCCTTATGTAGAAAGCAGTGTGTTTATTTCTTGCGGCCAATTATTTAGTCTGAACCACTTTAAAGCTATCAGAAACAATCCTCACTCTTTAGACTGCCACCATTCGGTTTTATTAGACACTCAGTCTAGACAGGTACTGAAATTTCTAAAAGAACTAATGCATATTTTAATATGTTATTCTTAAGCATTTGAATACTAATTAAATGAAAACATTGAAAAGCCAAAACAGTACTCGTGATGAATGCCTCCTCCCAGATTTCATGTTCTGACCACGAGGGAGCAACTTCTCGAAATGGAATTCCTTCACTCCTGCATACCCTGCACATAATGCAAGTCAATGCTCAATCACACGAGAAACAACTTGTTAGTGCTTCTCAGTAGCCTCTATCCTATACACTTGCCCCCCATTTCTTCTCATTCCTTTTGCCCTTCTTGCATCACATCTTCCTGACAACAATAAACTAACCAAACAAGACAATATATCATATATACAATATTCAAACACTACAGAAGCAGAAAGGCAATGCTTTAAGTCTAACTGTTGGCAATACGAGATACAGCCCTAATTTTATGCTAGTGTCAAGAAAATTGTTAAACTATAGGCCATATTAAATAACATAAATCCTACACAAGGGCATGGTTTCTTTATGTCAAAGAAAATTTAGCAGTAAGATTTATAATCAAACCGTACTCAAGAACTAGTTGGCGTATTGTTCCTGGAAGGACACCATCACTGATAGGAGCTGTTTGTACTTCAAAAGAATCACAGAGGGCCTTCCCATCATTTGAATCCAAAACCTAAAATGAAACAAGAAATGAACACTAAAAGTCACACAGGCCTGTCATCAAAAGCAAAAAGAAGTACAAAGTAATGCACGAGTTTATTTCATAAAATGTTTCAAAGAACGCACATGCACATGCAAAGGAAAAGAGTAGGGGAAACTCAAATGATGGCATCAGTACCTTTGCAGTCATCAGACTGTAGTAAACATCAAATGATCATGAAAGCATAAAAATTTAAAACAGAACACAAATATATAAAAAAGGATTGAAACTCAATGAGTATTCGAGTACTGTATATTCATCAATATGACAAAGAATAGGAATTCATACTGAATATTTCCATCCTGCCAAATGAATAGAAAATGAACTTAAAGGTTTTTAATAAATTGGTATGCTTGTAAATCTTTTTCAAAACAAAGAATGGTCCATCCTACTCAAGAGACACCGCTATTTAAAGAAAGCTCGTTGCATTGGTTGTAGCATTACAACAAATCAAATTTAAAAAGTCTTACTAGAATATTAAAGTTTGTTCAATCCAACCCCAATATTTAGCAACAGCTTTAGGTTCAGATTGTTGAGAGTGATGCATATATATATGTGTACTAAAAAAACAGGCATATAGAATCTAGCATAAGATAAGTGTGAATACAGTAAGATAGAAAGTTGGAAGTTAAATTGATAGATAAAATAAGCCCACCTTGCAGCAAACAACAAAAAAATTTGTCACACAACCTTCCAGGATCTGATCCCCATCATTTGACAGCAACAGTTCTGTCACTGAGGGAGGCCTGAGCTTTTCCAGAGGCTTCCTAATCCTGCATTGTAGAAAAATTTCCAACTAACTTGAAGGAAGATCAACACAACAAACAGCAAGAAAATGAAATAAATATGCAATTTTACACTGTCATAGACAGCAGATTGCAGATATAAATATTAATAATGAAATTTAAAAGAAAAGTCGATTATCCTCAATTCATTACTGGAGTTATAGTCACTAAAAACGAAGGGGTTATTTTAGTAAAAATAATTGGCTTGGTTCCAACCAAGCATTAATACATAACTTAATTTATAGTCATGCGACAGATCCTATACAATTTCTGGGAAATCAAACCATTAAGACACCAGTGTCTCCAAAAAATCAAATTAGATCAAACCTGAGATGTAAATTAATTAGGCAATACATGTTGGATGGCTGTAAAACAGAAAGAGTATTCTAAGACAATATATAAATAATTATTAATAATTTCCTAGATGCGTCCCCCTTGAACTTTACAACCCACAATGCCAGTAATTTCTAGACAACTAATTAAGGCAATTTAAGAAAACCATAATAGAGAATATATATATATTATATGTTCATGCCTTTCAGTGTTTATATCTTTATTCATTAATATCCTGCTATTTTTTTTACATAGGATTTAAGGAAAAACTAAGTGCTTAATAATGCTTCCAATTCAAAATGCACAGACTAACCTTACCCAATCTGAATATTTTGCAGCTGCGACATTCCTCCCATAGCCCACCAAAGCCAAATGTACACCATTTCCCCAAATACCGAATGTAGGAGGAACATAAGTTTCAACATGCACATGCACATCGAGAATTTTACTCATGTTTTCCTTTCTAACAGTTTCACATGCATTTAATTCCTCTAAATTACCACTAACAAGAGTTGTAATGGCCAGCTCCTCACCATCTTTCCTTTCTTTTAGAGCAATTGGCAAGACTTTGCATAGAGAACCATTAACAAGCACCTGAACAGTGGGTTGCCATATTGGCAAGGTTGCTGATGACGGTGACAAAACTGCAGGATGATTAGATTTAAATAGAAGCCATGGCGCAACATTTGATAGAACTTGTATAGATTCTGAAAGTCTTTTCATGTGCCTTTCCCAAAATAACAGCCATGAAGCATTGTTGTAAGTACGTGATGTTGTGTAAGCACCTAGACCAGAAGTTAGCTAAATAAGTTTTAAAATAAACAAAATATGTATAAGAAAATCTTGCTATAATTCAATTACTTATTTTACTAAATTGTTACTAATTTTGAAAGTACCTGGATGAGTTTCAAGGAAGTTTCTGACTGGAGGAGCATCTGAGGACTGTAAAAGGATACCATTACTTAGGAGATACCTTGATGCTGACATTTGTTAAGCCTCCAGACAATGAAAGGAGGAGAATTCCAATCTATAGCTGTTCAAAAGATGAAACTGCTCTCAAAACCCCCCACACGCAGTAGTTTGTCTAATTATCTATCTTCAAAGACAACTAAAATCCATGTGCACTGCAAATGGAGTCATTTTTAGAATAGAAAGACAATAGTGTGATACATGCTCTACTTCTAGAAGCAGCAATTTCAAAAGATAATGGACATTATATGATTGTTGCCATTTATAAAGAGCTCAACAAAACATAAAAGAGGTGTGTGTAGTGAAACCCAAAGGAGGTGCAAATAGCGAGCAGTTATGGGCCACAATATAAACACGTGTGGGTGCAGAGAAATTAAAATGGGGTGCACAAATCAAATTGTTGGGCTAACCCAACTTCATCTTCATCAATATACCCCAAAAAAACCTTCAAGGTCTCTCCATTCTTCATCTTCCTCGCCTGAACCACCATTGCCAGCAGCCCCTCCCGTCGCCGCATGCTCCTCGACCGGCCAGGGCCGTCGCTAGCGACGCTGGTCACCACAGGAAGCTTTGCTGGCGACGACATGATCTCCCTCCGTATTCTTCCTCTTTAAAAACGTGTTTCTACCACCTCCCAATACCCAGATCGGAAACCGCCGCGATTTCCGCCACCAGCGCCACCGAGAAATATGGAGTCACCACCAACACAATACCGTGGCCGTCGCACGGCCGAGCACTATCACCGGAGCACCGACACAGACCCGAAACGGGTTATTGCCATTCAGGGGCCGCTGCTCCTCACCTCCTTTCTTCTCAGTCTTGCCAAGTCTTCCCCTGATTTCCGGCTCTCTTCATACTCTCGATGCTGAGAGTTCTTTGTTATGTTCTATTGGGATTTCCCTGTGCATGTGTGGAGCTGTAGAAGATGATGGATGATGAAGATGAATAGAGATGAAAAGTGGAGGTGATGATGGATGGGAGAGTGAAGGCGTGGCTAAAGATTGGTTCTTGAAGCTAAAGAAACAAAGAAGATGTAGTGCAGAGAATGTGGAAACTTGATATTGATCCACATCCACAATTGCAAAATAGAACCAATAAGCTTGAATGAGATAGTAAACAGGAAATTTTACCTTCACCATTTTAGGAGCTACTTCTTTCTTCTTCTTCTTAGTTGCTATGATGCTCCTCACCTCCCTGTCTCGCTTTTCTCAGCTTCTCCTCTTTTTTTTTTTTTGCCTTCTCTCACGATTTTCTGTTTTTTTGGATGTGTTGGTGATCGAGTGCAGATAGCTTGTGTAGATGAAGATGAAGAAAAATGGTGGAGATGAATGTAATGATGGAAGAACTGATCTTTTGGTGCTCACAAATCTGTCTGATTGTTTTTTCCAAAAAGGTATCTCTTTCCCTATACTGACTGGGTTGTTGATTTTTTTTCTTTGTTTTGTTTTATTTTATTTTATATCTTTTTTATTTATTATTTAAAAAGTTAAAATAAATTTTATTTATCACAAAATTGGATATTTATAATATGAATGTGTTTTAGTACAGATCACAATGTTCTATGATATAAGATGCTTGTGGAAACATATGAAACCACGTATCATTAGACAAGATAAGAGAAATGGAAAGTACAATAAAAGAAAACAAGGAAGGTGGAAATAAGAGATGAAGGTTGGCAGTGACAAATGCACACAGCAAAAACAATCTCAAACAAAAACAAGTAACCTTGCTTTGGGGATTTTATACTTTTCCTTGTTCTCTTATTGACATATTCTTCATTTATAATTTAGTAACGTAAAATCTCATTAAAATAGTATAAATACTATAAAGAAATTATCATATTATTAATAAAAGAAACCCCCAAACTCTTACTCACATCTCTTATTCCTCTCAATCCTTTCTCTTTCATCTCTCTCACTCTAACCTTTTCTCTGTCATCCCTACTATAGCCCCAATTGAAAAAATTAGAAACACTTACCTTTAAACAATTTGTCTTTCTAAAGAGTTGAGTCATTGACATATTCACCTTGAGGCAAAGGTTCATTCGAGATCTCTTCAATTTCACCATCTTCACTAATTTCTCTAATTTCATCATTTGCATATGTTGAATCATCATCTCTAAAAAAACCCTCCAGGCCAATTACCAATTCTTTCGGATGTCATTATGCTTGTGAAAATTAGATAAAATTAGATAAGACAAAAATTATAAAATAAAAACTCATTATAAAATCATTTTTTGTAAGAAATTGTTTAACAACAAGTATTTCTGATTTTTTCCAGGTCAATTACCAATTCCTTTATGCTTGTGAAAATTGGATAAAATTAGATAAGACAAAAATTATAAGATCAAAACTCATTATAAAATCATTTTTTTTGTAACATACGGCAAGTGTTTCTGATTTTTTCAATTTTGGGGATTTCTTTTTTTTTTTTTTTGAGAATGAAAATTATTAAAATATCCTTAATCTTAGAACTTAGAATCCATGGTATATAAGGATATTTTTGTCTACTAAAACCCGGTACACATTGCTAAAATGTACCAACTGAAAAACGACTACGCGCGTTTAGAAACCATATAATATATATATATAATATATATATATATATAGATAATAATTATATATATAAATATTATATATATATACCATACTTATTTATGTTGTATCACTCTTCAAATTTTGCTTCATGAAGACATCATCACTTTTTCTCAAACCCACCATTATTGCAAAAAGAATCAAATATACACCAACAACCAAACAAAGAAATACATAAAAGGTAAACTAATGTAAAAAAATAATCAAGAGTATTAAGATTCATCATTTATATATTCATACTAAGTTAAACAAACATTCTAAGCATACTATGAATCTAAACCTGATCGTCCATATATAATATGAATGTCGAGTTATGGCAGATCATGCACTTATGGTGGTCTTTATTGTGTTGTAGAATCATTAGGTTACTCTCACAATGTGCATCACTTATTTCTAACTCAAAATGAATGATCATTAGAGTGTCAGAAAAATCCTTAAGCTTGAGCTTTCTACATTCATAGAAACAACACTTTATACAATTATTTCGAATTCATCCTTAAAAGCTCTTATTCAATCACACATTGTGCATACATCAATCTCATTCAAAATCCTTAATAATATTTCATAAAGCATACTAAACATGTCATGAAGTACCTACCAATCATTAAAAGAAACCACAAAAGCCAAAAACTGAAACAACAAAGAGTGCAAACAAAAGACATTAGCGTTTAGCAGCACATCCTTGCGACATTTCTCTAGCAAACTTGGTGCCTAAGCACCACCTCATGTAGTTTAGCATCAAACCTCTTGATTTTTTGGAGCTTAGGCTCCGCTGACTGTCGTTGAGCACCACAACAATTTACATTAAAACAATCATTTCACGCATAATAATTCAACATACATTAACTACTCACACAAATAACTATCAATTTATACTTTATAATTCAAAATAAAAACAAACACTAGCTTTCCTTAGAGAATTCTAGAAGCACTTACGAACCACAACATCGTGATCAAAGTAAGTCTTTTAGGACCACTGATCGACAATGGGATAGAAAAAGAGAGTGACGATACATGCGATAAAATATTAGTTGCATATGTCTTAAACTAAGAATTAAAGAAAAATGAGCAAAGAATGAAGAGTTCACTCTTGTGAACTCCTAAACACCTTTGATCGTCAAACATATGAGCCAAAAGTCAGAAGTCCAAATCTTAGGAGAAGGGAGATAAAACTCAGAGAAAGAGTTATAGAAATATAATGTTTATGAAATTTTATTTATATTATTAAATTATTTTACCAATAACATACTCCCTCTCATTGTTTTAAGATATCTATCAAGTCTAATACTCTATTTTTTAGGTTCTTACCAGTAACATTTTTCAAAATTTAAATGATTATCCATAATAAAAAATTATTTTTCAATTATATCCTGTAACTATTTTTTTTAATTTAAATAATTATTTATATAATAAAAATTTATACAAATGATTTATTTTTAATAAAATATTTTAGTATTAATAATTTTTTGCTAAAAAAGTTGACACATGTGCATGTGTTTATATACTCTTTTATTTTCAATTTTTTAACATTGTATTTTATTAAAAGTAATTACAATTTCCCTAAACGTTTGTGATTTATTTTCTGTATATTAATTGTGATATTATAATTTTGAATTTTAATATATAATAAGTTGGAATGTTATCTTTAGAGAAAAATAATTAAATGTATTTTATATTTTTACAAATAACTAATTATAATATATTCCAATTATTTGAAATACTAAGAATTTATTATTATTCTTTTATTTTTCTTCATTACACAATTTAAAAATTATATCAAATAATTTTAGTTATAATACATTAGTATATTTTGTAATTAATTTTTTTAAATATAAAGGGATAAATATATAATTATAAATAAAACTTATATACAATAAATTTATTTTAATGATATTTTACAAATAAAAATGTAATTATTATTTTGATAAATAATATAATGTTTATTATTTGTAATATATATATATATATATATATTTAGAATATATCATATATATATTATATATATATATATAGATATATATATATTTATATATATATATATATATATATATTTATATATATATATATATGTTTATTTTATTTTGAATTGTCTTTTGTAGTTTAACATCATTTTAGTTGTGACGTTTATTTAGATTTGAATTAAAAAATTGTTATTTTTTTATTTTAAAAAGAACTTATAATTAAATGAGTTAGTGAGTCAACCAGTTTAATTCACAACTTATGGTGGGTTGAGCCAAGTTCAAATTTTTTCAGCTTGCTAATAAGTGATCAACTCGTAGTGAGTCGGACCGGGTCGAATCAGATTACCGTTTTGACAGCTTTTAAAAAGACGTGATAACTGATAAACTCACTCATCAAGTCACAATGAATGATTTTGACATCTTTAATTTTAAAACAGACACTTATTTTCTTAATATTTTTATAATATGATATTCACACACTTTGTATCTTTTTATAAAATATCTAATTAATATATTTTAAAACTTTAAATTTTAAATTTCATAATTTTACTTAATTTTTAATTGTATTATTTTAAAAAAATATAAATTTACTTTATTAAAAATATAAAGTAAATGAGTTTTATATTTGTACTATATGGTCACCTGGTCAGTCAAGGACCGTGTGATCGACCATTCAACAAGAAAATGATCTACCGGTCCAAAAGAGTCATTAATTAATAATTAATTTTAACAATAATAGTTATTAATGGACACTTAAAGAGAATAATAGTTATTCATTAAAAATTAATAGAAATAATGAAAGTCACTTTTTGGTGATTAGTGAGTCAAACCTAATGGTAAACTCATTATAATATTTATAAATATATGTCTCACAGAAAAGACAGACAATTAATTCTGATTAATTATCTTTATTACAATATTATTCTGCAAAGTCACTCAGTGAGCGTTGGAATATCTTCTGCAAGTACCCTCTTACGTGAATACTCTGATTAAGGGATCTCAACGCTTTACCCGATATAATATTTATTAAAAATAAAATATGATCTGTGTTTAAACCAGATGACGTGAATGTAATTTTACTTCAAAACATAAGCAATCATAATATAATTAGGTGCAATATTTCTTTAAAAGACATTTCTAATTTAAGTTTTTGAAAACTAAATTTTTTCCATGAAATGCTCGTGTGTTGTATAATTAATTACAGCATCACATCAACTCTCTGTGATGCTTCTTTTTCCTAACATAGCAGTGACTTTTTCTCCATAGATTACTATAATATTAGTTGAAAGCTAGTGATTTCAATTAAATTAGCTTCTGCTGTAAAGAAATCATTTAGATCCCAGGCTGTGTGGTTGCTACAAAAGGCCCAGTGTGAACTGTTCCATCATTGTGAAGAGTCATAATATAGAAGACTTTCACGTTCAGCATGTTACATATTAAACCAGAAGACCTGTTCTCATTTTACCTAACATCATGTCACTTATTTTTAGATTGACTAGGTTTAAGCATGTGTTTTCATAGCTCAACTTCAACAAAGGAAATTAAAGGAACAAACTTCCATATCAACAGCTTCAAATAGACTCCTTAACTAGCAATACATGTGAAACAAACCCCTTTCAAAGAAAAATTTTGTAACTTCTTCTTTCTTACCCAATTCTCCCCAATAACACAAAGCCAAGTTTCTTGATAATAAACCAAAAGCATTCAAGAGGGTACAAAGATAAGTAAATATTTATGTATAAGAACTTGGTAGATGCTCCAAAAGCAAAAGTCACTGTATGCTACTGGTGCTACAAAATATTTTATTATGTACATTCAGTTTTGTCTTGGGTCCAAAGGCTTCATTTTTTTGGATGGCA